TGTTGTTTTGAAGGTCCTTTGGAAAATATTTCTAAAGTAATATACAATTATTACTCTGAGGGCCCTGGAAAAGAGTCTTTAAAAGTCCACGATTATTGCTCTGAAGATCCTTATCAAGATTTTCTCGAAAAAAAAATCCACGATTATTGCTCTGAAGGACCTTGGAGGAAAATTCTTAAAAAATCGATGATTTTTGCTTGAATAATATTCTTAAAAAATCCACGAAAATATTCACGATTATTGCTCAGAAGATCCTCTGGAAAGAACAAAAAAAACTCCACACTTTTAGCTCGGAGGTTCATTGGAAACATATTCTTAAAAAAATCTACGATTATTGATCCGATGCTCCTTAAAATAATATTCTTAAATACACCAAAGTTACTGTTTTGAAGGTCCTTGGAAAAATATTCTCAAAAAATAGATGAAGTCCTTAAAAAATTTTAATAAAAAACCCATCATTGTTGGTTAGAGATGTTCCTTGGAAAAATGTTCTCAAAAATCAAGAATTTCCAAAAGTATTTGAAAAAAATTAGCTTAAAACATCCTGACTTAAAATCCCTGATTCCTGCTCTGAAGGCCCTTGGGAAAATATTTTTAAAACACTAGACAATTATTACTCTGAGGGCCCTGGAAACAATAATTTAAAAATCCATGATTCTGCCTCTGAAGGTTCTTGGGAAAATATTTTTAAAACAATGGACATTTATTATTCTAAGGGCCCTGGAAGAATGTTTTAAAAATCCACGATTATTGCTCTGAAGGTCCTAAGAAAAGGAGTCTTAAAAATCTATGATATTTGCGCTGGAGGTCCTTGAAAAAATAATCTTAAAATAGTCCTTAGGTACTTGGAAAATGCTATTAAAATGTGATTTTACCTCCCACAATGTTCGAAAAGATGCTCAAGGTTCATGAGAAAATAATCTTAAAAGGTCCCTGGATACAGTTCTCTAAAAATATCCGATTATTGAATTGGAGGTCCTTTAAAATATTCTGAAAAAATGCTCTGCAGATCCATTGAAAAATGTTGTCAAAAATTCACGAATATTGCTTTGCAGATTCATTGAAAATATTCTCAAAAAAGTCACGAATTTTGCTCTGAAGGTATAACAAATATTGCTTAATTTGTGCAGGGTATCCTTGGAAAAATATTTTTAAAAAATGCACGAGTATTGCTTTGAAAGTCCTTGGAAAAATGTTCTCTGAAAATCCTTAAAATAATATTCTTAAAACACGAAGATCCATTAATATTTCTCTGAAAGTCCTTGACAAATATCCTTAAAATTCGCGATTATCGTTTTAAAGGACATTAGAAAGATATTTTTTTAAAAAATCCGTTTTTTGGTCTAAAGGTCCTTCTTAAAAATTCCACGATTATTTCTATGACGGCTCTTGGAATTCAGGATTATAGCTCTGATGATCCTTAGAAAATATCTCTAAAAATATGCAATTGTATCTCTGATAATATATTGAAAATATTTTTAAAAATCAACTTTTGGCGGCTCTAATGGTCCTTCGAAAAAATATTCTTAAAATCCAAGATCTGGCAGTCCTTTGAACAAGATCTGGCAGTCCTTTGAAAAAAATTGAACAGGACCAGCTTAAATCAATAACAAAACAAGCTGCCCTTTATCCTTTACAGCCTACCGCATTCTGAGTTCTTTACATTTGTTGAAAACTCCCATTGTTCCATTTGTGTTCCTTAAAATAGTAAACGAAGATCCCTGATTGTTTCTCTGAAGGTCGTTGAAAAATATCCTAAAAATTCCATGTTTGTTGCTTTTAAGGTCCTTGGAAAAATATTCTTAAAAATTCCGCGATTATTTCTATGAGGACTCTTGGAATCCAGATTATAGCTCTGATGATCCTTTGAAAATATCTAATAAAAAATGTATCGCTTATGCTTATTCAAAAATATTAAAAAAAATCCACTTTAAGAGGCTCAATTGGTCCTTCGAGAAAATATTCTTGAAATCCAAGTTCTAATAGTCCTTTGAACAAAAATTCTTACAGGACCATATCGTTTCCCGGAAATTTTGTATATCTCAATCGCAAAGTAGCTGCCTTATGTCCTCGATAGCCTCCCGAAATCTGAGTTTTGGCAAACTTCTTGAAAACCCCTTTAGTTCCAATTTGTGTTCGTCCTGTGGAGCTAGAAGTCGACAGTTGGGAATCGAGACACTGGATCCCCTAGCGAGTCGTATTATCCAGCTCTCTGTTGAGGAAATATGACCTACAATTGTCCTGAATTTCAACAAAGTCTTCAATGCCGTTTAATCAGGAAGTCTTTTGAAAAAATTCATACCGGACCATATCCTTTCCCGGAAATTTTGTATATCTCAATCGCAAAGTAGCTGCCTTATGTCCTCGATAGCCTCCCGAAATCTGAGATTTGGCAAATTTCTTGAAAACCCCTATAGTTCCAATTTGTGTTCGTCCTGTGGAGCTAGAAATCGACAGTTGGGAATCGAGACACTGGATCCCCTAGCGAGTCGTATTGTCCAGCTCTCTGTTAATGACCTGTAACCCATCATTGTCCTGGACTTCTACAAGGTGTACAATAACGTTTCATAAAAAAATATTTTGTGGGCTAATTGGCGCCCAAATGTTGTGGATCTGGTAGTGAGTCGTATTGCTCCCTGTTGAGCACCATATTGCATAGTCCACGTTGAGGAACTGTAACCCACCTGAACTTAAAGTCTTGAATACCGTTTGATAACTTAATATTTTGTGCGTAAATTGGCGCCCAATGGACAGCATTATTGTTTCGGATTTTATTTATCTTTTATCTTTCGAAGAACTTCTGTTCTATATATAAAAGACTCCTTATAGGCATTCTGCACTAATTCATAAATTATATCTTATGTTAGTCCCCTGAGTTTAGTAAGGCCTTTGATTTCATTCCCCTGAAGTTCATTTCCCCACTGTGCAATCGTCTCACATTGTTGTTGCTGTTGGTGTTATCCAATTTGGAAAACAACAAAACTTGAAGCGTTTTTTTTAATATTTCTCTTCTTCTTTTTTTGGTTATACTGCTGCGCTGCTGTTGGTGGTGTATTGGAGTCTTGATCAATTCATTCATTCATTCATTTATACTCCGAATGGTTGGGGACCAGCTTGACTGCGTGCCTGCCTGCTGGTCCGCCTGGTAGTTGTTGGTGTTGCTGTCTACATTGTAGTAAATAAGTAGGCTTTGCTGCGTCGGCTGGGCTGGCTGGCCATTGTATGGGTGTTAATGTCTGTATGTCATCATATTGTTGCCGTTCTTATTGCTGGCTGGCTGGCTGACTGGCTTTGTGCTTTGCTTTCAGTCTTTTTTGCTGTTGCTGCTGCCGCTGCCGCGATTTCTATTAGTTTCCATAAACAACTAAACAACAGATAAGTATTATTTAATTCATTTATGGTTGGCTGCTGACTGAATGACTGACGGACTGGTTAGATGGTTGGTTGGTTGGCTGGCTGACTGGCTGACTGGTAGGTACTTCCATTCCAAACATTCGTATTCAACGTAAGTCTGTACGCTGCCGACGATTACCGCCTCAGTGGTATGCATACCGATTACCCACACTTTATTTTTGCTATTTTTGTTGTTGGTGTTGTTGTAGTTTTTATTTTTGCGGATGTTAGCGAGTACTTAGTTTGGCATTTTCAATGTTCTTTATTTCTGCTGATCGTGCGGGTATTGCGCGATTGCAGAGCCATCAAAAGGTATACAATTTGGGTATGGACACATACAAACATACATCCATATAAAATTCGAACTTGCATGATTATGACAAAAAAAATTCGAAGGAACCTACTTAGTAGTACTCAAATTTCTATTTCCAAAAACAAAATCTGAATGGTTTAGAAAAGTCTCCTAAATTGAGCCACCATCCAGTGCGAGAAAAAGCGAAAAATTTCGCAGAAATCCATGAACTACTTCAAAACATAGGCATCTCAAGGTCAAACATATCAGGGTCATATCGTAAATGCTTAAAAGACCGTTGGAAGGCCTTCGATGTATGGAGACCCAATGAATGTATGCAATCCTATAAATGGAAGCTCTATGGAACAACCAAATGTGGATTTTTTACAATTTATTTCTGGCATGTCTATCAGAGGCCCAGAGCACGTTTTTCAGACCCGTAAAAGGCTTGAGATGTGGAATTTTGAGAGTAATTTTCAAGGACCAACAAACCCTAAATGTTTTAAGAAATATTTAAAGGCAAGGACTCAGAATATATTTTGTAAAAACGTGAATTTTTTAAAAAATATTTTCTTTAAAGGACCCTCAGAGCCACCAGCTTTAACTGGGAGACTTTTACAAAAAAAAAAAATCAGAGAAATTAAATCTTCTAGAAGATTTAAAGAAGGTCTTCCATGCCCAGAGGATAAGACCCACAGGTGTGCTTCTAAAGATAAATAGCCAAAAATAATTCTGTACATTTGGGCGCCATTTCGAATACAAAAAGGTTACGGATCCTCAACAGAGAGCTGGGATGATGCGATGCATTAGTCGATTCAGTATCTCGATTGCCAATTCTCAATTTCTGGATAACACCTACACAACGGGCGACGATTACACAGTGAGAAAACAAACTTCGGAGGAATAATTTTTTGTAGAAGATCTCCCATGCTCAGAGGATTCTCTTTACTCAGCGGACTAACAGAAAGTAAATTCTACGCATTGGTGTTCAATTGCTACAAAATGCCTATAAGGAGCCTTTTTTACATAACAGAAATTAAACTAAAGGTGGAACATAGATAAAGAATGTACATTTGGGCGCCATTTCGAACACAACATTTGTTATCAAACGTTATTGAAAAATTTGGTGAATTTCAGGACCGTAGAGGATTATGGCTCCTCAACAGAGAACTGCAGCCAATTTCTAGCTATACAAAGCGTGCACAAATTGAAACTATGGGGTTTCCCACACAATTTCGACACCTCAGAATTCGAGAGGATATTAAAGGCAGCTACTTTGCGATTGAATTATGCAAAATTTCATATCCTTTGATTCTGTACACTGAGGGAAAAATCCCGTTGCGAAATCAAGCACGTATGTTGTCATTTTCGCAACGACCCGTTGTTATATTTTTCAACAACGGCTGTTGGTGAATTGTGCACGAACGTGCTCAAATTGACACCGAGACGTGGTCAACTTTCGGTACCAACAACAGCCGTGCTTAATTTGTCCATTTGTAATATTGGTAATTGCAGCCGATTACACACGAGTAAAAAATGACAACGGTGGTGCATGATTCACACACGGTCGTTGTCAATATGACACCGGTCGTGTATGAATTATGCACCACCACCTGCATAATGATGCACCACCGTTGTTACTTTGTACACCGACGTGCATGAATCGTACACGATCGTTGCCATTTTAGCAACTACCGTGTATGAATCATGCACCACCGTTGTCATTTTTTTTACTCGTGTGCAATCGGCTGCATATTTACCATTTTTTCCGTGTTATTGAAAGAGAAAGGACGCATTGTGCAAAAAATTTATTGAAAATGAATAATAATTCGCAAGATCCTCAAAATATCATTGGTGAGTTGTTAGAAATCGATGGCAATATTGTTGTGGTTCGCGATACAAACCATTGCAGCAGTCAAGATGCGGAAAACAATGAGGACGATTATATGTTAAGGGAGTTCTTAAAAGGAATAAATATGGAGTCGCTTTTTGAACAATTAAAAGGTAAGTAAATAAAAATGAATTTTTCAGTTAATCAGTGTAATTAACAAAGAATTTTCTTTTTTGTTCTTTTAGCATCACATGTAACATTTCGCAGCTTGCAGTACTTGAAAAAAGAAGATTTAAAGGAAGCAGTGCCACCATTGGGACTGCGTGTTGAATTCAGAGAAAAGCTCTTTGCTTGGAAAAAACGAAAGGTACGTATTATTTGTTTTACAGAGTTGAACTCAGTATTAATATTGTCATAACAATAGCTCGGGATTGATGACGAAACTATGTCAGTTCCATCTAAAATAGGTGAATGGTGGAAACGCAACGAGACACCTGCAAGTACTCCTGGTACTCCCGACACTACAGGTTCGAACTGCTCAAAAGCCAAAGGAATTTTGTCAGAGGTAAGGTAAGAGTAATATTTGTGTAAGCATAGTTAATGTAGTTTTTTTATTTAATATAGGATCTAACGGAATTGTTAACACATACCTCGAAGGGGAAACTAGCGCTTGAATGTAGTAGCGTTAATAAGAAATTAAGTGACGAGCAAAGAGATGATATAATTAATATAATTATTGAAGATATTTTAACCAACAATGTTACTCTTTACACTCAAGACTATATGCGCATATTGGATGAAATTTGTTCCGTTTTTCCTCTTGAAAACGAAATGAGGGTAAGATTAACAATATAAACAACGTATCTGATTATGTAGTTTCTTAACTTATAATATGTCTTTATTTTTAGGATTATTATTACATTTCAAGAAAAGGAAAGAACAACGCAAGCGGAAAACTTTATGCCAAGTATAGAAACAAGAAGTCCAAAAGAATAAAGCTTTTGATTTCCGAGCCTAGCACAAGCAAAGCAGCAACTCACACATCTCCTAATTTTTGTAACAAAGATGTTCCCGAAATTGATGAATCAGTTGAAAATTCATTGAAAGCTTCCTTACTAAGAGAATGTAATGATTGGGGATCGATCTGCGAAAAATGGAAAAGATCTTTTAACAAACGGCAAAGAGATATAAAAAATTTAAGTAGCCATACATTTCTCCTTGAATGGACGAAGTTGTCCGATGCAAGAGCTTCAGAATTGGTAAGTAGCCATGAGCTATTTATTTGTATATGGATACTAATGTTTCGTTTTAGGTCAACATTGATTTCGATATTATGTATCCACAGAAAGGCAATCTTCTACTTTCTAAATGGGACCAATTTAAGAAAAAAATTTACAATTATTATGGGAAAAATATTCATAACGAACATTGCAAACAACTCTTCGCAAATGTTTTGACGGCAAGCAGCATAGGTAAATTTTAATTCCTGATTTATCATAAACATTAAAAGTAATATTTATTTTATATTTCGGTTGCAGATGCTCAAGATTATATATACGCAATACTGTTGAATTCAGTTTTACCATCACCTGCTAGGTTTAAATGTGGAAACGGTAAATTACGAAAAAAAGTAACAATAGCTGATTCGCAGGAAAGTTTCGTACTGCGACTACCGACAATTAACGATTATAAAAGGCAAATTGATACAGTCACTGAAAAGTATTACAATGCTGGATTAACTATACAGCCATTTATAATTGTGGAGGGTTTGTCCGATTTCAATATAAAAGGTTTTTATGTTTTTTTTAACCACAATTTGTTAAAATTTCAATCGTTCCTCGAATGTTTAGATACATGTTTTAAAATTTTTCATGCACTTTCTTTAAAATATCCAAATGCCTGCCAAATTCCATGGATTTTTATCCAAAAATATTTTTATGAAATTAATACTGTATATGATATAAAATCAGTTAATTTGACTTCACTTATTAATTTCTGCAACAATAATTAAAGTACAATTCAAAATGTATATTTGCTTTCGTTGCCGTAAGCATTTTGATAAGGCAAATCTTTTAATAGCTCATTTGAAAACAGACCATTTAATGTCCACTAAATTTTTAAAAGTACAATGCGTTCAGGACAACTGTAAGCAAACATTTACAAAATTTACGTCATTCAGAATTCATTTAGAAAAACTTCACAAGAATCACACAAAAGCTCCACCAATGGTTAAAGCCATTAATGTGCCAGTTGAAATGTCATCATCAAAAGAAAATGATTATACAAACAGTGAAACTGTTATTAACAACAATACAATAGAAAAGGATTTAAATGTTTTGAAAAAGAAAACCTTATATCTGTCTTTACAATTACATGGTCAAAGCTATATGCCTAGAAATCATGTTATAGAAATACAACATTCTGTTTCAATTCTGCTTTCATCCATTTCATGTACAATTGAAAAATATATAACTGATCATCCAAATTATGAAGACTTAAGGTACTTACTAAACTTTTGTAAAAATCCTTTCGAAGAAACTAGAACGGAATATAGACTTTTAAAAATTTTAAAAGAACTAAACTTTTATGATGATCCAAAGGTTTATGTAATTAGCAATCAAGTCTCGGAAATTGTTATCAGCGGAAATCCCAGTTTAGGTCCAAAGTTATCCAATATTTATATAATGCCACTGAAATTCATGATAAGTGCCCTTTTTAAAATTCCAAATCTCTTAGATTTGACATTAGAAAACTCCAAAAAATTCCTAAATTCACCTGTTTTACAAAATTTTACAAACGGTGAGTTATATAAAACTAAATTATTAAAATATCAGTACAATTTAGTTATTCCCTATGTCCTTTACATGGATGATTTTCAAATTAATAATCCTCTTGGAACCCATACATTTTCCATATGTGGTTGTTATATTAGCTTTCCTTCAATGCCACAGCACTTGTTGTCAAAACTTGATTATATATTAACTGCTGCGTTTATACCATCAAAGGATTTAAAAGAACGTGGAAATGAAGTTTCATTTCACAATCTTGTAGAAGAGTTAAAAATTCTAGAAGAAGGGGTTGAAATTTGTGTTCAACAAAGTGTTCAGAAGGTGCATTTTATTTTAGGTGTAATTATTGGAGATAATTTAGCAGTTAATAGTATTTTAGGCTACGTGCAATCATTTAACTCTAAAAGATTTTGCCGGGTATGTAGAAGAAAAAAGTCCCAAATGCAATTCGACGCAATTCAGCATTTAGATAGTTTAAGAAACCAAGAGAATTACAACTCAAATGTATTGGAAAATAATTTTCAAGAAACAGGTATTAAAAACAAGTGTATCTTCGAATCTTTACCAAATTTTAACGTCACTGAAAATTTTTGTTTTGATATTATGCATGACATTTTCGAGGGCATATGTGTCTACGATATGTCTAATGTAATTCTCGGGCTGATTCAAGAAAATATTGTTACGTTAGATTGTATTAACAGCAGAAAATCTTTATTCCAATTTGGAGAAATTGAAGTGGGAAATAAATCTGGACCACTAGATTTATGTAGATTGAAAAACTATAACTTAAAAATGACAGCTAGTGAAACTATGTGTTTTACTAATTTTTTACCTTTAATGGTAGGCGATTTAATTCCTTTCTCCAACGATCACTGGAAAGTTTTTATAATATTATTACAAATAATCGATTTACTTTTAAGACCAAGTTATATAGAAGACGATTTAATAAAATTGGAAGAATTAATTAGAGATCACCATTCACTTTATATAACATTATACGGTTCGTTAAAACCGAAACACCACTTTCTTGTCCACTATCCCACAGCTATCCGAAAATGTGGTCCCCTTAAATATCTCTGGAGCATGAGATTCGAAGCTAAACACAAGGAAGCAAAAGCCTATTTAGGAAATACTACATCAAGAGTAAATCCCTGTCGTTCATTATCTATTAAGTCTGGATTGAAATTTTCCAATTTTTTATTAAAACACGAAGATAACTTAGAACCAAATGTTATCATTAATACGCATACCATCGAAGATTTGGCAAAAGAGGAATATTGTTACAAAAAAAGTAAGCCAGTTTTAAATTACCAAAATTGCAAAGTGTCTGATGACATTTTTTTTAAGGGAACTAGGTATAAAAAAAACTATTATTTAGCAACAAATAATGCCGCAATTGAACTTTTCAAAATTAAACATTTAATAATTGAAAATGAAAATGTTTACATTTTATGTAACCAAGTAAAAGTTAAAAACTTTGATTACCATTTACAATCGTATGAAGTTGGTTCTCTGAATGAGGATACAATTTTTTTAATACCAATTTTAGATTTTATTACTTACCCATTTCACTTATATCCTATGAATAATGGAAAAGTTTATTTCAGATTTAAGTTAATTTAATTTGTTTCTATACATTGAATATATGTAATTCGAATTGTTTTGTTAAATCAAATATGTATTTATATTGAATTTATGTAATTGGTTTCGTTCAATAAAATACTTTTCAAAAAATGTCGTTTCTTCTACTAAGGGTATAAAATGGAAAAGGAACGGATATCAAAAAATGACCACCATTGATTTCAATCTGACAACGGGCGTTGACAATCCGACAACGGAGCGTTGACAATCTGACAACGAAGCGTTGACGATCTGACAACGAAGCGTTGACAATCTGACAACGGGGCGTGCTCGAAATGACCACGTATGTGCTCATTTCATGCACATCTGTTGTTGAAATCGTTGCCAAAATCTCGGTGTCAAAATGACAACAGCGTGCTCATTTTGACACCAAACGTGGTTGATACACTATCATACACGGATGTGGTCATTTCATACACGGATGTTGTCATTTTTTCTCTGGGTGTAAGCATTTTTTTTCAAAAGACTGTTCTATCTTGGATTTTAAGAATATATTTTAGCTAACAAAGGTGGATTATTAAAAATATTTTCGTGGAACATCAGAGATAGATAATTTCATATTTTTAAAGATATTCTCTAAGGATCTATGGAGCTGTGATCCAAGGATTCTAGAACCTTCATAGCAATAATGGTGGAGTTTTAGTAATATATTTTCAAAATATGTCAGAGATAAGGGATTTTTCAAAAATTGTTTTACAAATGTTTTTCCAAGGACCTTTTAATCAAGGACCTTCAGAAGAACAAAACAGATATTTTCCAAGGTCATTTAAACCAACAATCGTGGATTTCATAAGGACATTTTTTCAAGGATCTTGAGGGCAATAATCGAGGATTTTTTAAAGAAAAATTTCGAAGGATCTTCAGAGTAACATTTTTGGGTTTGTTAAGGATATCTTTTCATGCAGGAATATTCTTTAAAAAATTAGGATTATTGGTCGGATGGTCCTTGTAAAATCCTCCTTCGAAAATACTCAATTATTGCTTTGACGATCCTTTTAAAATCCTCGATTGTTGCTTTGAAGGTCCTTTAACAAATATTCATAAATATCCACGATTGTTCCTTTGAAGGTCCTTTAACAAATATTCATACAAATCCACGATTGAAAGTCCTTGAAAATCCACGATTATTGCTGAGAAGGTCTTTGACAAATTATCCTAAAATATTCACATTTGGTGACTCTGAAGGTCCTTGAAAAACATATACTTTAAAAAATCTACTACTAAAAGTCAGGAAGTTTCTGGGAAAATATTAAAAAAACTATTTGTGTTTTAAAGGTCCTTGGAAAAATATCCTTTGAAAATCTACGATTATTACTTCGAAAGTCCTTGAAAATAATAATTCCCAAAAAACCACAAATATTGCTTTGAAGATCTTTGAAAAAATATTTTCTATAAAATTCACGACTATTCCTTCGAAGGTCCTTGAAAAATTATTCTTTAAAAATCCACGGTAAAAGCTTTAAGGGTCTTTGACAAATTTTCCTCAAATATCCACGTTTGGCAGTTCCGATGGTCTTTGGAAAAATATTCTTCAAAAATCTGCGAATGTTGCTTAGAAGGTCCTTAACAAAATATCCCAAAAAATCTACGATTATTGCTTTGAAGGTCCTTGGAAAAATATTTAAAAAAATCCTGGTTTATAACTTAGAAGGTCCTTGAAAAAAATATTAAAAAAAACAACGATTATTGCTCTGAAGGTTCTTGTAATAAATATTTCTTAATAATCCACGATTATTACTTTGAAAATCAAAAAATCCAGGATTGCTGCTTCAAAGGTCCTTGCAAAAAATATTTTAAAAAATCCACGATTATTTCCTTGGAGGTCCTTGAAAAAAAATTCAAAATAAATCCGCGATTATTTCCTTGGAGGTCCTTGAAAAAATATTCAAAATAAATCCACGATTATTGCTTAGAAAGTCTTTGAAAAAATATTTAAAAAAATCCACGATTATTGCTTTGAAGGTCCTCGGAAAAATTTTTCAAAAAAAATCCAGGATTTTTGCTTAGAAGGTTCTTGAAAATTGTTTCCTAAAAA